AAAAGAAAAGAAAAGAAATAAGCTGAGGGGCCAGGATTAGTGCAGTCAATAAATATGAACTGAAGGCTGTGATGGGCTAAATCTTGAGAACAGAAAGACAAATAAGACAAGGTGTTGCACACAGGGAGCCTAGAGTCCAACAGAGGAGAGAGGAATAAAGTACAGAATATGTACGGACTCTAATATAGGGACAGGTACCAGTTTCAAAGGGATACATAAAGGAAAGAGTGGTCCATTCTACCTAATTGAGTCAGGAAAGTTTTGAGTTGTCACCTGTAAGAAGGTAATCAACAGATGGAAAAGTTGGTAGGAAGATGGAAAGGGCAGTGCAGGCAGATGGAGACAAGATTTAGTTACTGGTTGGATGTGGCTAAGAAAGAAAGAATGCAATCTAAAATGACTCCCAGAATTCAAATTTGGATGACTGGATAGAAGGTAGTATCATTCAATGATACAGGGAAAACCGAAGAATGAATCTGGGGGAAAAAGGATGCATTTTATTTCTGAAATATTAGGTTTGAGATATCTGTGGAGTCTTTCAGGACAAACTATCTAACACGCACTTGAACATATGGGTTTGGAGCTCAAAAAAAGAATGTCTGCGCTAAAGTTGGGGTTGTTATGAGCATCTAAATGGTAGCTGATTCCATGGAAACAGAGAAGATCAGCCAGGAGGTCATGTACAGTGAAGGAGAGAGGCCAAGGTGGGAACCTAGGATTTAATGATATTTAAGGATGAGCAGGGAAGACTGAGGAGGAACAAGAGGCAGAAGAAAAACACAATGTCTTAAAAACCAAGTAAGAAATTACTTCCTATTTTCTTTTAATTACCAGGATATGTGTCATTATAAGCATTTTCCAGGGGAAAGAAAAATAAACACCAAAAATGAATACAAATATAACTAGAAGAATACTTCCTTCCTTACTTCATCTCTGCTGATGAGTTCATTGGAAAAAGTGAGTCCAGGCATAAGACCTCTTTTCTTCAGCCAGAATATAGCAGCAAAAGATCCCGAGAAGAAAATCCCTTCTACAGCTGCAAAAGCCACCACTCTTTCCCCTGGAGACAGAAAATAGTTTTCTTTTCTGAAATATCATATACTGCAGACATTTTCAAGCTTACACATATAAAACACACATATTTTTACATATATATTTATACCAATATCACAACTATTTTGCCAAGAAACAAAACCAACAAATTAGTGCCATAGTCAAGCGTGTTCAGAGGAGGAAACCCACCACCTCTATCTACTACTGCAGAAAAACACGTAGGTGTGTCGACTTCAAATCGTATGTCAGACACTGCACTCCTGTGGGTCTTGGTATCTGGACAAAGGAGATCTTTCCCTACTCTTTTTTTGAGGGAATTTATCTGTGCGCCACAAGTTCCTATGAGTGTAGTATGTACATATAAATGTGTGCATGTATTGGAAATACAGAGTAGAAGAGAAGATCTTATGACAAATGTCTCCCTCTTGACGATGGAGGGAGGGGACGTTGCTGAGGTTTTTATTTTTAGAAACCTAAGATACGTTATAGATTAGCAGTGAACATTCCAAAAAACATTGCCATGCATCTACAATTAAAAAAAAAAAAAAACAGATACATCCAGCTAAAGATAATAAATATGTCTATTGGATAAAATATCCCATCGTATAAGCAAAAATACTATCTTCTGCTAAATACATAAGGCCCAATTTTCAAAGGTTACTCAATATTAGGCAAGGACTTTGCAGAAGCCCATCTCCTAAAAGGTCTATAATGGAACCATCTCTGTAACACTATCCCTAGGGACCGATTATAAGTCTGACCCCAGCAAATGTCACCACACTTCATATGCTCAGGAGAAATATTTATAGACATGTCTGTCTAGGGAGAAATGTTTGGTCTATAGGACTGTGAGATAAAGGCAGGGCAGCTGAGTGCTTGAACCAACCACAGACCTGTTTCAACAATGACATCATAGCTTGTATCCCAGTACTGTCACAGGACCAAACACAGAGAGTGCGCTTAATAAACGTGTTCTGAACTGAATCAATGGAAGCTATATAAGCACTATTACCATTCATTCTATGAAAACTGCTAAAATCTGATCCAGAATATTTATAACTGCCAGAGCAAATGTAATTGTAATATTTAATTTCCAAAAAGAAAGAGAACTTTTAATATTTCTGGCAGTCTCTAAATAGTGCTCTGGTTTGTCCTTGTTCTTTTCCCTGATTATCTTAAATAAATCAAATCAGATCAATTTTATCAAATAATTGTCTATTAGTAGCCCCAAACATCAGAAAAACTTTTAGAGTATTTTACTTATACAGACACAATTTTAAAAGTCACTTTGAAAAAAAAAAAAAAGAAATGTAAATTAAATAAGTACTTATTGAGTATATACTGTTTAGAAGGAATTATCAAGAGAAGAATCTTTAGTGTACTATATACTAAATATTAAATGTAATAATAATCACTGTGGTCTGCTGACTCTTGAAAACAAAAATAGCTCTTTAGACCAGCTACATTTTTTAAGATGAAGATCTGTCTTTAGTTTAACATACAGATTTCTATATTTTTATCTTGCTATTAGTAAGATAATGGATAGTTACAGCTGATGCATGTTTCATTGTCATTAAGGCAATGTCATATGGACATTTAACTGTAAGAGAACTAGACTATAACACAAACATTATGAATAAGAGGAAATCTTTAACTATTCCGTGTATTCATGTGAATACTAAAGAATGAAAATCATGACAGAAATAGTTACAGAAGGCTACTTCTCTTAAAGGATTAAGAGAAGTAAACTTCACAAATTTAGACAGATGTAAATTAAAAGAAGATTTCCAAAATATTTATTCTAAAAGCTATAACGAATATGAAGGCTTCATGATTTGTTTTAAAGATGGGAAAGTAAGGGGGTGCCTGGGTGGCGCAGTCGGTTAAGCGTCCGACTTCAGCCAGGTCACGATCTCGCGGTCCGTGAGTCCGAGCCCCGCGTCAGGCTCTGGGCTGATG